CTCGCGACCTCGCGGTGCCGCGCTCTGATTGGCTATCGGGCAGAGCAGTCAGGCGCTCCTCCACTCAGCTCGCTGGAGGGCGGGTCCAGGCTTGGGGATCCGTTTCCGTCATGAGGGGCTGGCTCTGAGGGGTTGCCCTGTCCTGCGGCCGCCGGGAGCCGTCAGCGTTCTGTGTCCCCTCAGCGTTCTGTGTCCCCTCAGCGTTCTGTGACCCCTCAGCGTTCTGTGACCCTTCAGTGTTCTGTGACCCCTCAGCGTTCTGTGACCCCTCAGCGTTCTGTGACCCCTCAGCGCTCTGGGGCCTCTCAGGGTTCTGTGTCCCCTCAGAGTGCGGGGCTCCCTCGCCACAGCCGCTGCTGAGGCGGCAGGAGCTGCCGGGGCGAGAGGGACCAGCCTGGCGTCCCTCACTGCGCTGGGACAGCGGGAACGGGGCTCGTCAGGGCGGCCCCGCTGCTGGGAGACACAGAATCACAGAAATCACAGAAATCACAGAATCACTTAGGTTGGAAAAGACCTCTGAAGTCCCCCTGGAAAGTGTTTGCAGCCTTCCTGCAGCAGAATCCACTAAATCTGACCATAAATCTGTGTCAAAAGATTGGGCTCCGTTCCTTTCCTTAACGTTTTCTTCAGGGAGGAGTTGAATTTAACACTGTGGATTTCAGTTTTTCACCGGATCACGTAGAGCTGGGCTTGCTGGGGTCGCTTCTGCAGGATTTTCTCCCTGGAATGGCCAACAGGGGAGGATTTTTCGACTCTTGGCCGTTTCTGTGCCGTTGCAGCAGATGGCAGCAATGGCCTTGGTGACAGGGACCCATCCCCACACACGCAGTGTCATTTACAGATTCACTCTTCCAGATCGATCATTCACTAAAAAAAAATTCAGTCGAATGATAATTACTTTGGATCCTGTTAATTATTTCTAAAATCATGCAAAGAAGATCCAGAATCGTTAGGTTTATTTGATGAGAAAACCTGAAATGATGCACAGATTTTCTGAATGTTCATATGTTCCAAACTAAACTACACTTTACAATTTACAATCAGTTGAATATTTAAATATTCCAAACTGAACTACACTTTACAATTTACAGTGAGTACAAGCCTGGCTGCAAAATAGGCTGATTTATTTTCATTTGTGAGCAATTTGCTGAATTCAGAGAAGGATGCTGCAACTAAAACGTTTCTGCTTTGGAAAAGGAGGTCTCATTGCTTCACCCCTATTCCTGATTCCTGATACCTCTCTCCTTTCTTCACTCCCTGCTCATCCAGCCCCTGTACTGGCTGTGCAGCCCTTTCTTGTCACTGCTTGTGCCTTCACCATCAGACACTGGATTGCAAAGCAAACTGATGCAGCCCCAAAGCCCATAAAAACATTGCTGCAGTTTTCCTTGGTTAAGTTTCCAGCTTTTCTAGTGACATAACACGCTGTGCTGTGTGCCCTGTGAGCATCAGGGAGAGCTTTTGAGAGAGGAGAGTGCATAGGGAGAAGGAAAGGAGGAGGTTGGGGACATGGGGTGGGGAATTGTACTCTCCATTTCTGTGACAGAAAGCTCTTATCTTGTCCCAAATCATTTTGTTACATCATGCTCTGAAAGACAGGCAAGGAATAAAAATCATTGCCTCCAGAGATGTGTGAGATAACACCAGTGTAGTAGGAGGTACCAACACACCTTTGGTTTTATTGGACTTTCCAGACTTTGATTTCACATTCTTTTTATAGGAGCTGAGCTTGATTCTCTAGTGCCTTGCACTCAGTGAACCATGCAGCAAGGATGTAAAATGCTGTGACTTCAAACAGGAGCAGGCAGTGAGAGCCAAGCTCTTGTTTTTTGCTTGATCTCTGTGATCTCCTTGACTCATTTTCTGTATGATGGTGGCCAAGACAGAGGGGATATAAGGTCAGTCTTGTTCTTGGTGGCAGGGCTGGTTCTAAGAAGACCCATGGATGACCCTTTCCAGCCCATGGGGAGCTGCTGACACTTCTCCTTGCAGTGGTTCTAAATGAGAAAGTAAGAATGATGTGGAATGTCAAGTGTAGCACTCTACAGTTTGCTTTCTGCTCCATTCCAGCTCTTTATTGAAATAAGGGCACTATCCAGTACAAACCTACCACTGATAATGAAGA